TGATGCTGGGAGAGGTGAATGCTTTGGCAATACATGCCCAGGATGTGCTGCCTAGGGGCTGTTGTACTGAGCAGAATGCAGGGGTTGGGGGTGGGGTTCGACCCTGTAAGACATTCTCTCCTAATGAGATAAATTGGATAAATATAGTTTCTCTCTCTCCCCTTTCATATGTCCTATCCCTTCTTAATTTCTATCCTTTCCCTTCCATTTACCTTCCTTCTTTTTTTCCTTCCTTCCTTCCTTCTCTAGGAAGTTTTGTTCATTCCTGCTTCTGTACCTATTCCTGTAAAATTTGGTTGAAGATGATGAAGAGGCTTTGGGGAAAGTTTCCTCATGGGGTATGTTTCACTGTGTACTTTTCCTCTCCAAATTCTGTATACCTGAAATCAGGTTAAAGCTAGCATCAAGGGCTTTCTTAAAGGGAATATGGGTATATAGGGAAGTGGGTAGGGGTCATCTTACATTCTTGCCTTGGTGATGGTAGTAAGTCATACTAGATGAGGTAGATGAGGCTAGGGTCTTCATTTAAGTATTAGCCAGAGAAGCCCTGTCTATATTGTTTACTTAGGCAATGAAGTGGCACAGTGGGTAGAGTGCTGTACTTGGAGGCAGAAAGACCTGAATTCAAATTCTGCCTCAGACATTTACTAGCTATGAGACCTTGGGCAAGGTATTTTAACTTCTCTCAATGTCAGTTTCCTCAATTATAAAATTAAGGAATTGGTCCTTATGGTCTCCAACGTCCCTTCTATTTCTAAATCTATGATCCTATGATAATATAATGACTAGTGGCATCCCGAGTTTGGGACAGGGTAAGAGAAATCGAAGCATAGATGCTTTTGTCCTCATTTGCCATAGTGATAGGAAAAAAGCATGGAAGTGAGTCTACCAAGAGGTAGACCAGCCAAGTTTGGCAACTTCTCTTTAAGTATTAGCATCCAGTGCCTAGAAACTTATTCAGGGTCACACACAGAGCTTAAAGGCAGGTCATCCTTGTTTTGAGGCTGGCTTTCTACCCACCATACCTCACAGCCTCAGGAAAATAGATATACACTTCAATTATTTAATCATCCCTAACATGTGGCCACATAGGATAAGCAAACAGAGAAGACTGAAAGCTACAAAAAGGTCCTCTTAATTAAAAAAAAAATTCCCTCTACTCTTGCTACAATGCTTAAAATAAAATTGTCATGATTAGGCAATTCTTTGAGAAGACTTGACTCTTATTGACAATACCATACTTAGAATATCTTCATCAGATTAGCCAAGTAATCATTTTGCATGGCCCTGAAGAAATGGGGCAAAGGTCAAGTAAGTTTTTATAGACTAGGAAGGAGGGTCAGGGAAGTATGGGTGTTGCTTCAGAGGACAAGCCTGGATTGACCTTTCCAATGAGAGATCCTGGACAACTGAGGTCCGCTTTTTTGTGGAATAATTCTTTGATGACAATAGTAAAATGTCACCGGGTATTTGAAAATTAATGTGAATAGTTAGCACCAAAGACAATTTTAACTACTTAGCAATTTTGTCTCTTTGCAATTCTGCATTCTATCCTATCACACCTGGTATTTCATAGAATTCAGAATTTAAAATTTGAAAGAACCCTCCATGGCCATCTAGACCAACCATACAGGAAAAAGATCTGGATCAGTCCCTTAACCTCTACGTGTTCTCAGCAGTTTTTTAAGATTATAAGATGACAACCTACATCGATGGAGGGAAGTTTCTCACCCACGTTTTCCGTATACCAATGAAATCACAGATCTCATAATTTTCTGGTTCCTGCATTTGGCTAATGACCCATATTAAGTTTATAGTCCACTAAAACTTCCCAGATCTTTTTTTCAGATAAACTGTTGTTTAGTCACATCTACTCTGTCTTATATTTGTGAAACTGATTTTTCATCCCTAGAGTAATTTTATATTTACCTCCACTGAATTTCATCTTCTTGAATTTGTCTCAATGTTCTAGCTTGTCAAGATGCTTTTGAACCCTGACCCCGTTACCTTGTGTGTTAGCTATCCCTCTATTTTTTTTCCATTTGCACCTTTGATAAGCATACCATCTACGACTTTATCTGCCATTGATAAAAATGTAAAGTTAGTAGTACAGGGCCAATCAAGCATGGATTCCTGGGATACTATCCTCCAACCTCTATAGAATTGTCATTGAATTCTTAATGACTACTGCTTGGGCCTAGACATTTAACTAATTCCATTTCTATCTAATTTCACATTATTGTGCCCAGTCTAGTTCCCAGTCTCTTCTATAGATTTCCTTGATCAAGGCTACCCTAATATTCAATTTAACCAGATTTCCAGTGTAGAAAAAAATGTTAAGAGTTAGGGCAGAGACCCTCCATTCCCAACAGTATTATTTTAAAAACTTACCCTATACTTTTCTGGATGACCCTGGGAGGTGAGAAGAGTGGGCAATAGGGAGAAGAGATCGAATTCTTTCTGGGCCCCATAACGTTCAAGGCCTAAACTGCTGGATTACACTTTGGGAATTACTGGAAGGCTTTTAAACAAAGGAGCAGCATGACCATAATTGTGTTTCAAGAAAGTTCATCTGGCAGTGTTGGGAAGGATGGACTGGAGAGAGAGAGAGACCTTGTCTGGGTTGAACTAATCTAGTAATTAGGTGATGAGTAAGGTCTTTGGAGACCGGTGGTCAGATAGTTTCAGAAAAAGGAATCCTGCATTTTCTTAGTGTCCCTCCTACCTCTCTGCCCACTCCTCTGTTATCTCCGCTAGCCCCTCCTCCTATTCCTCTCAGTACTCTTCCTCACTGACCTCTCCAACTCCAATGGCTTCTACTAAGATCTCCATGTAATGGACACCTAAACCTATTTCTCTTGTCTGACCCCTTTTTCTCAAGCTCTAGTAATTTATTTCGAGTTGGCTGGTGAGTAGATACAGTGGTTTGTCATCCCACTAAACTAAGTCTATCTTAAACTTAGCATGGGAGAGTGCACTTTGGGCTGGCATGTCATATCCCATAGTAGATCAAAAACTTCTTAAGGTAAAGACTGTGTCTTATTTAACCTTACATTGAACACAGCACTGTGCATACAACAGATGCTTAATAAATGTTTGTCGCTGGGGTTCCCAAACAAATCAGCTCCTCCTAACTTCCATATTTTCATAGCTGACTAAGGCTGATAACCTCAGTCATCACTGACTTCTCTCATTCCTCACCCACAACTTTAACCAGTCACTCAGTCCTAATTCTTTCTTCATCACATTTCTCGCATCTAACATCTACTGCCCATTTCCACTGCCATCACCATGCCAACTCGAAATAAATTACTAGAGCTTGAGAAAAAGGGGTCAGACAAGAGAAATAGGTTTAGGTGTCCATTACATGGAGATCTTAGTAGAAGCCATTGGAGTTGGAGAGGTCAGTGAGGAAGAGTACTGAGAGGAATAGGAGGAGGGGCTAGCGGAGATAACAGAGGAGTGGGCAGAGAGGTAGGAGGGACACTAAGAAAATGCAGGATTCCTTTTTCTGAAACTATCTGACCACCGGTCTCCAAAGACCTTTCCCTATGGTTCAGATCTCCTCTCTAAAACAATTACAACTGGATACAGTCTTAAGCTTCTTTGTTTCAGATGCAGAACATTACAAGTATCCAAATAACTAAAGTTAAGAATCATTCGAAAGAAAATGGGGAGCCCAAAGCCTTAAAGTTGAAAATCACCTAAAGGGCAAGAGAGAGAGAGATAGTAGATGTGAGCGTGGTATAACTCACTACAGATAAGGAATCACCAAAAAGGTTACAAAAGCTGAGGGGGGGGGAGTGGAGAAGGGCTAGTCAGATGTTATGCTGCAGAGAGAACTGATGACACACAGGCTGTGATCCATTGGTATACTCATGATATCAGGAGAACTTGAGGAAGGCCTCCAGAACTTGGGTGGCCTCCCTGTGGAGAATCTGTGAGCAGACCTGGAGGAGAGTCATTTGGGATGGATTGCAGTCTTCATCATTGGAAGTAATGTTCACACTGATGAGACCACGTATCTATTTGAATATATAGTTCTCTCCAATAAAGGGGGAGAGGGAATTAGATTCAGAGGTTTTAGCATGCAAGTTTAAAGACCAGACTCACGTTTTGTTTTTTGAACATTGAACTAGGGAAAATAAGTAGGGCTGGGCTGTGAATGTCATTTTCTTGTCATCTTTGAAGGAGATCTGGATTGGTCTCTAGTTAGCACCAGCTGTGTTAGAGGAAAGGCGGGCTGTAGATGCTCACTCTGCAGTCCTCACAAAGCCTCAGGCTGCTGGGGCCTCTGAGGGCTAGATGCAGTCTCGGGGACCCGCAGCTCCAGCATCCCGAGCAGGGGGAACGTTCCCTCCTCCAGCCCACCTCTCCCTCCCTCCTCCCTCCCTCCCCCAACTCCGGGCCCCCAAGGCATTCTACTCTTTCTTTCCATTGCTTCCCTCTTCCTCCTTTTGCTCGCGCGCACCCCCTAGGGAGAACAAACCCCACTTGGGGGATGGATGCAGATGCATGCACACGCACTAAATCACGCACACACACTCGCACCCACAATCACGCTGGGGCGCGCGCGCGCATACACACAGACACACACACACACACTCACACACTCACACTCACACAATCACGTGAACGTGACAGCCACGCTCTCCCAGCGGCAGGAGGCAGCAGCAGCAGCGGCAGCGGCAGCGGCAGAGGCAGAGGCAGCGGCAGGAAAAGCAGGAACAGCAATAGCAATAACAGCCGCCGCCGCCGCTGCCGCTGCAGCCCCGGGGAAGCGAGCGAGAGCCTGAGCCCGAGCCCGAGCCCGAGCCGGAGCCCGAGCCCGAGCCGGAGCCCGAGCCGGAGCCCGAGCCGGAGCCCGAGTCGGAGCTAGAGCCAGGCGGTGGCTGTACCGAGAGGGAGCCGGGAGCTGACGCCAGGACAGTGCTGAGCCCGGCGGAGCCTTGGGCTGGGGGGGAGGGCTAGGGAGGGGGGCGGCTAGCCTTGGAAGTCACCTGAGGTTGCAACCTCCCCCTCCCCGTTTGCCACCGAGAAGACCTACGGACAGAGGGAGGCCGACATGGCGGGGCTTCACTGAAGGAAGCCGTCAGGGAGGAGAGGAGGGGGGAGAGAAGAAGAAGAAAAAAAAAATCCCTGCATTTCCTCCTCCTCCTCCTCCTCCTCCTCCTCCTGCTCCCACACACCATCCCTTCTGCTGTGACTCCTCGTCCTCTCCCGGCGTCCTCCTCCTACTCTATGCATTACTAAAACGGCGCAAGGACTGCATCAGGAGGAAAAAAAAAATCTCTTGCAAACAAAGAGAGAAAGAGGGAGCGAGCGAGGGTGGGGGGTGGAAATCTCCTAGGCGAGTATGGCGGACCGCAGCTTGGAAAGCATGTCTTTGCCCCTGGAGGTGAGAGCCCGTTTGGCCGAGCTGGAGCTAGAACTATCAGAAGGTAAATGCAATGAATGCAACGGCCTCCTCCCTCTCCTCATTCCTCTTCCTACTTCTCTGCCTTTTGCCTAGAAAAAAAAAATGACATTTTCCCCTTTGCCTCCTTCCCCCCAGACCCCTCCCGCTCACTCCGTGCGACTTGTTCCAGTGCATCTTGTGGGGATTGGCAGTTGCTGGAAAGTGACATTTTCCAGAGTGTGTGTGTGTGTATGGGGGATGGGGGCGGGCGGTGGAAGAGGTTGGGGGGGGCGGAGGGGATAGGGGTCTTTTCCCCTCTCCTTCCCCACCCCCACAGTTTTCAGCTGGGGGCTCAGTGCAGTTTCAGGGTCTCCTTTGGTCTGCTGAATTTTGCTTCTGCAGTTGTTTACTGTAGGTGTAAATGGATTGGGGGAATCTGTCAAGAGAACGAGAAACGAGAGGCAAAGACACACACACACACAAAGATTCCAGATAACGTTTGGCTCTTGGGTGACTGACCGAGAATGTGCTGTCTTTCTGCTGGTTTCGGGGCACGGTATCACAGTCTTTTGAAAATATTTTGTGGTGGTGTGTATTTGCAATTCCTGATGGCGTAGAGCACCCACACGCCGCCTCTCCCCTCTTCACCCCCCTCCCGTTCTCTACCTTTTCAGTGGCTGTTCTTTCTTCAGACTAATTTCCACCTCTCTTTGCTGCCTCCTGCCACAGTGGTGGTGGAGGAAGGGAGGAGATCGAAGAAGAGGCTTTGGCCGCAGTTTTTGCTTCTCCAGCTTTGTACGTTTCATTACGGAAGATGGAAAAATCTTTGGGGCTGGGCTTGCAGGGACTTCTGTCCTGCCAAGGAAATACTATTTTAGTGAAATCCACGCTATCCCCTGAAGTTAACGTCTGTGCATTCCTGGAAACATGATGTGATCTGCACTATTATATTCCTTAAAAGATCATTTGATTAGAGAAATTATTTTTTGCAGTGATTGTAGTTTTGGATTTGTCTTAGGATGTTTCTGGGCTTCCTGGTCCGGGCAATAGTTGCTGGGATAAAGTACTACTGACTTTTTTTTTTTTAATGTGAAGACTGTGGCAAAACCTTAGAGCCTTTGCCCCCAAACGAAGCTTCAGATATTACTTTCTGAGTGGCATACTTAGGATTTGTCAGATTTGCTAAAAACAATTTCTTAGGATGATTTTTTTAAAGCAATTGATTTCTTTGGTTGTGATGGTAGAAATAGTGCTCAAATGTCATGAGCATTAGATGGGTTTTGCAGTGTCTAGTTCACTTTCTCAAAAAAAATTATAACATTTTACAAGTGTTAATATCAAAATATGCATTTTTCCTAGTGATCAACTGCCCCACTTCTGGAAGGGCATATCTGAGGAGGAAAATGAAGACTCCTGTCCCAGATTTATCTTTGAAATAGGAGTAGTTTTGGGCTATTCAACTTTTTTTTTTTCCCTTTTGGTAACGGTTTTATGAGGGCTTCCAGCCAGAAAATGAATTCCGTCATGCCGATTTTCATCAGCTGGGAGGAGCTGATGTTGACATGGTATTTTCCTTTTTAACACTTTCAGGATGAAGGGTCGGATAAACTATAGGAGATTGTGTATGTGTGTTCAGATTTGCCCTTTCAGAGCTCCACTGACCATTTTCCTTTTCATATTTCAAATTTGACTTGCTGCAGTGTGTGTTTAACCAGCCCTCTGAAAAGAGAGGAAGAATGTTTCCTAGGCTATGTGCTGAGTAGCCAATATTTTGATTATTTGGAGAAGCAATTGTGAATACTGCATTCTGTTATGCCAGACAGTCACTAGAATTTCTCAGAAGACTTTTTTGTCCAGGAAATAAAGTCCACCATGCAGTTGCCAGAGATAAATTTAATGGCATGATGGCTTAAGCGTGAAATATACTCAGCCATTGGCAAAACACTTTATGAAACCATCTGTACATTAATTTATTTTTGTACAGGCTCATATTGCTAATTTTTTTCTCATTCTGTCTGTTCTCTACTTTTCTTTTTTAACCTCTCCTCACCCTGACCTTTGTCTCTTCTTATCCTTTGATTGGCCAAAGTGTATGTAACATTCATTAAGTCAACAGAACCTGTTTGTTATGTCTCAGTTTTTATCATTAATTCAGACAATTATCTCTTTCCCATTCTCCCAAAGTGAAGGCATTTGTGTCTGATCTGGAGCATCCACAGTCCACTTGCTGCCTACAGCTTCCTCCTTTTTTGTATTAACTAATTCAGAGATTATTAGTGAAGTATTGGGAAATGTCTCTGTGATTTGTAGCTTATATGTATCATAGACTAACTCCTTGGAAATAGTTGCTTTACGAGCACTCGGTTTTCAGGCATTCCTGCTGTTAGATGGAAAAGTGTCTACTCTTCTTACTCCCTATTCCCAGCAAAGTTGTTTAGGGGATGGCAAAGCCAGATGAAGGAAACCAAGCTGTGCTTAGTTAAACTTACTCTGTTTTGATTTTTTTTAAAGGGCCCTTTATAGCATGGTTGCATAAGGGGTGTGTATACATTCACGTATATAAATGTTTAAAGACTTATTATTGTCCTTACTCTGTGAGCCTAGCCAAGGCCTGACTTAAAGGTTTGAGAAGAGTAAATTCAAAGGCTTGCTGCTTATATGCTGTTCTCTTTAGCCACACTCACCACACAGAAGAGGTGAAGCCCATCAGGTGTGTCATCTTTGAACGTGAGGGCTGACACATATTTATGTTGGCTTTATAGAGTGTTCTTTAAGGCCATCTGGAATTGCACATGTTTTTTACCCCCTAAACCTCATAGATACGTTTGAATGGATTAAATGAGATGAACCAACTTGTTTTCCAAGATAGCTTGGAGGTAATCAAAGAATCAGTGTGTCAGAACAAAAGTCTCAGTGTTGCTGTATGCAGGTAGTGCTTCCCAAGCCTCCCATACTACACTGGACTTCTGCTTCCTGAAGGTATTTTTAAATTCCATGGTGTCCAAGATTGTATTTTCACTTTTATCTTCAAACAGGATTCCTTGGGAGAGGAATTTTTAAAACTTTGTTTTCACATTTGTTTGAAGTGTCAAAACCTTGGAGGAACAGTTGTAGAATCATCAGTACCCAGGGCCTGACAAGAGAAAATAGAGAAAAGGAATTACTTTTAAGCAGATGACATGAATATGCTTATTTTTAGAAGAATGCTTTAAAAGTTGTGGTAAAGTCTCAGCCAGTCTTTGTATTCTTTGTATTTGTGTTCCTAGACTCCAGTTGGTCTGCATTGTTCATTTGGTGCTGTCCTGTACTCAAATGTAGTTTGCATTTATTGGATCATTGTTTGGCGGGGCTGTTGTAGATTAATTTCTTGGCTGGAGAGCTCAGGTCATTCCCAGTCTCTCTTTCTTGCCTGTGTCTGTTACAACATTGCTTCACTACTTCCCTCTCGCTGGGGAAAGCAAGGCCCTTCTCACACAGTAGAACAATGTTGTCAGCAAAATACAAGAGCATTCTGTGGGGAGATGTGGCTGGCAGCCTCTCCTGTGGACACTAAAAGCATCACATCTGCATGTCTGGATATATGCTCTGATTTGGGGCCAAGGATCTTGGTCTGTTAGTGTCCTTGGGACTGAATGGGAGACAGACTGATTAAACCATACCACTGAGAATGCTACGCTCAGTAGAATTATCTCAGTTTTATGTATCTGTTTTTCACGATTACTTCTTTCTCCCTTCCTAATATTTCTACTTTTGAAAGTGACATTTTCCTGTTTGGAAATTTGATTAATTGCTAGGATTTGGTTTAAGAAAAACTATTCCTTCCCCTCACCACAACTACACAACTTATAGCTGCCCCCAAACACTCAATAAAATAAATCCTGCACTGTCACACCCCCAGTTTGCTGAAGCTCTTAGTTTTGGTTTAGAAACTGATTTAAGTGCATCTGATTAAAAGTTCTGCCAACTAATCTAGATTTAGATTCTTTTAGCTTGTTTTCTACTACATAATAATACCTTCTTTAACATATAAGGCTGAGTAACCTGTCTACACTCAAATTTGTGTTCTAGGAAGCAAAAGTTTGCTGCATTGTTCAATTTAGCCTTTCTTTGGTGTGTATACTTGTTTGAAAGTATTACTGGACCTCTATAAAGTTAATGTTAATTTACAATAAAGCATTTTTAAAAAATGTTTAATTGATCCTTTAAAACTATTGCTGTCATTTCTCAGTGACCACTGCTCCTCCAGAACCCCCTCCCTTGTAGGAAATAAGTGTAGTTAAGCAGAGTCAACAACACAGATTGGGTCTGATGATGTATGCCTTATTCTCCACCTGTTGGCTACCACTTTTCTGCCAGAGGAGGGAAGCAGCTTTGCATTCGGTCCTGTAAATTAGCAAGTGGTTGCTGCTTTGATGAGCATCCTGATATCCCTGTGGTGTCTTCCTTTGCATTACTATAGTCATTGTGTGAATTAGTGTTATTAGATTTGGAATATGCTGGAGCATATTAAAATAGTTTGAGGTAATATATGAAAAGGTTTTGGATTTTTGCAAAAGATAAATATATTCTTTTTATTGGAGGGGCAGGAAATGCTCTAAAAATGGATGCTGTACAGTCAACCAATATGTATGGACCGACTCTAATGTGAATTGTTAGAAATAAAGTAATTCTACCCATTGTCAATAACCCAGGTGACATCTGTTAGATTGCTTCCAGGATCAGCAGTCTCCCTAATACCTCCACTTTGCTCTTTTCCTCCTACAATAGTGTGAGAATTGCATGGAGAGGAAGGTGGAGGACTCATGCAGGTGTCAGTTCCTCTCTTTGTTGGTCAAGGAACTAGGAAGGTCAATTCATTTATAACACTAAGCCTTTTTCATGCAGGTGCCAGAGACTTTTTTTTAAGCACTCCTTATGTTATTATCACAGAGCAGTAGTCAGAGGTGAAGACTCAGAGAGCCTATTAGTGCTTGTTGCTGTCTCTTGCTGCACATTGAAAGACACCTTTTCCTTATTTAAACATCAGTACCACTTCATAACAAC